AAGAAAAAGCCATTTTCACTGGGGATTGTCACCGAGTTTTCTGGGGCTAACAGAATGCTTTCCATGTTCTCCAACCTGTATGACTCCACCGTGTTAAATATAAGGCTGGAGGATTTAACTGGCTACCTTGGCAAATCTTTACCATTTCAATTTCCAGAGCTCTGTGCCTAATATCTACTTGATTGTTAATCAGATCAGGATGGAAACCTGCAAGCCTTCCTGAGGCAACAAGTTTCCCATTCACAAGCCAGCCAGCCAGAACTGCAAGGTGGCAGGAAATATATTTAGATTATCCAAATGTCCCCCTTGATTCAGTTAGATACAGTATTACTTTTCACTTGCAATGCTGAACTGTTGCATATGGTTTCTGTGTACTGTTAAATAACTAGTGTGCAACATGAACAGAATTCACAATTTTATTATCTTGCAAAGCTTGATCTTCACCTTTGGATGAAAGACATGTTATAAGCATTACTTGTCATCATCATTATTATTTGTACCAATAATAAATTAACACAGTTCTTCCTTCCTTAAAACCAAGATTGGAAAATTTAAATATTGCTTTATTAATACAGCTAGTCAATTTTTTCATCTAAACATTTTTTTTCAATAAAAATGGCTTGCCAAACAAGAATACAAAATTCTAAGAAGTTGAAAATGTCTGTTGTTGCAATGAAAAACTGGTAACAAAAATTAAAACTTTTTGTAGAAAATGTTTGCCTTTCAGTAAAATTATTTGAATTTTCATTTCTGTTTTTTTCATAGGAAAGGCAAATATTACAAGTGTTGAAATTTTATTTCACCCACAAAAATCTGAATTTGTTTAACAATCCCTACACATTATTCACTAAGGGTGAAATGTGAAAGTGAACAATGATGCTTTGGAACAGCAGGCATTACAGACATTTTGTTGTGTGGTTTTTTTCCTTCCCACAGTGTTGTAGTCAGTCATAGAACCATTTTAATGCAGCTTTATGGCTGAAGATATTAGAAAGAGAACTTTAAACACATGTCAAGGGAACACTATTGCAGATGTAAAGCCAGATACTAATTTTGCATAACTTTGCCTTGCGAGGCCCCTGTGGTAAGGGAGGGAGTGGGGCAAAGGCAGGCACTGCTCAGCCCCCCCATTCTCTCCTTCCCCCTGTAGCAATACTTCTACAATACAGACTACAAATATCTCTTTCTTTCTAAAAATGCATAGACCCAGAGCTCTTGAGAGACACTGAGCCAAATTCAGCTGATGAAGTCAATGAAACTGTTTGCATCACTTGAGTGAGGATCTAGTTCATACATCTGACCAATATAATTTGCATTTTTCCACACCTCACTGCAGTGCTGAAGTGTCAATGTGTTCTGTTACCAGCTAAAGGTTATCAGCTGCCCTGCTATACACCACATAGCATGTTCGTGTATACCTTCCAGCTGAGACAAACTCCTTTGATATGCCACTTTCTCTACAAACTTAAGGATATGGCATGTGACTGAAGAAATAGATGATCAGAGCATTTGCCTTTACATATCTTTGTGTTCATACCTGTCTAATGAAATACAGCACAGGTGAAGGATTGATGCTGTGGTGAGGAGGACATCTAGAGATGTTCGAACCAGGCAGAACATCTCTCCATAATTCCAGTTATTCTCAACCAGTTCAATAGCTCCAAATGGCATCACCAGCACTGAAACCAGCAGGTCCGCGAAGGCAAGTGAGACAATAAAATAGTTGGTCTTGATTCTCCTACGAGACATAATATGAAAAGCAATATGAAAAGCTCAATGGGACAATCTCAAAGTAGGATACCCCATGTGTGGAGAAATCTGTTCTCTAAAGGGTTGTCTAATCTGTCCTCTAATCCTAAAACATCCTCTCTAATTTACTTCTCATTCTAAATAATCCATTTTAGTTATTTTTATTTTGTTTTGGGGAAGAAATATTTGCCAGGTTTGCTATATAACTATGGAGGTACTTCTGCTCATGAAGATGCAACCAGGCATGCACACACATACCATTTACCAAACACTGCCCTTTCCAAACACTGACAGATAAAACTCTTTTAAGCTCAGTGCATTTTTGGCACTTTTTTTAATAAAATAAATCACCATCATTTTTTGTTGTTTTCTTTGTACTCTGTAGCCTTTTCCATTGTTGTGTCCCCCTTTATAACATTAATAAAAGTATCAGGCCTGGCGTTGTCTCCGTCTACTCCTTAAGCACTTACAAAAAATGAAAGCCAGCCAGCCTTTGCCTTCTAAGACTACAGTATCTTAGATACAACCTTTTCTCTTCCTCATCTTGCTGCACTGTGATTTCCTAAGGAGAGTGGGTTCTGCCAAGGAGTTTGTGGTTGTGTGGAAACCCTGCACCATTTGTAAATGGCTGATAAAGTAGGCGCCAGTTACAATAAGGTAACAGCATACAAATCTTGGACTTCCAGGGGAAGGGTGAGAGTTTGTCCAGTAAAAGCCTCTGTAATAATGATGTTGAATGTTTGGACTACCAGCCAATGAAGATTTGAATCTCTCTCAGAAAGAAAGATAATAGCCATTCCAGGCGAATTTAAGGAAGGACAGAGAAGAGATTATTTATGCAACCGTCAGACTTTTCTCAAGGCATCCAGTGCAATGCTTGGTCTTATTAAATGCTGATGTGCTGGTATCAGGATGTGAGCTCTTAGAAACTGGCAGTCAAAAAGCAAACTGCTAATCAGCAAGTCCCCCAGCTATAATTCTGGAATGGAAAATGCTCAGCTAATCTGTCCCAACCAGTGACCGTCTCTCTCTCTGATACAGCCTATAAATTACCTAATCTAATGAGTAGGGACCTACCGAATTTGCGATTTCACAGATTCCATGAAATCCAGGCAAAGCCCATGAAATCCGTGGCAGCGGGGACTGATAGAATATAAAATTCTGGCCCCACAGAGGGAGCCAGCAGTCCTCCAGGCATTGCAACAGCCTGCCTGGGTAGGGAAGAGGGAAGGGGGGATGCCCACACAAAGGGCTGCCAGCAAGATAGTTGCTGTCCCCAGCCCTCACTGATGATGGGCTGTACGGCTGCCTGTCATGTGGCGCCACCCCTTTCCAACAATCGGAGGTGGGGGCACAGCTACATGACAGACAGCTCTCAGCCCATCAGTAGCGAGGGGCAGGCAGCCTTCACGGGCAATCAGCGGCAGGGGGCAGGACTGCTCGGGCCCCTCAGCCAGAGTGTGGGAGACCCTCTACACTCTGCCTGCAAAATGACTGCTGGGCCCCTCATTTTGCACATGAAATCAGTGGGCAGCTCTCACAAATTAGGTAGGCCCATGCTAATGAGATGTAAAGTCCAGACATGTAACTTATATTCCTTTTGATTTTGTATATTGTTTTTTACTGTATCCTAAATTACTAGAAAATCAAAATGGTTTAATTACACTTAATTTCTGATTTTTATTACTTGTAGGGGAATTGTTAGTATTTTTCCCCTCCTTTTTGTTAAAGACTGTTAAAAAGGTTGCATGTCACAATTAGACTCGCTGGCAGAGCTCTAAGGAACCCCAGCAAGCACCACTACAGGACAAGATAAGGCCGAGTTACCAGGGATTCTAGAATAACTAAGGAAATTAAGTACCTTAGGTATGGCCACTTAAGACTAAACAAGTATTTAAGATGATTTGCTTCTTAGTCAGGTTTTTCAAATTAATCAACATTTAAAGGACCACTCCTTCATTCTGAACTTTGCTACGCCCCAAATTGAATTTGGGGTGTAGCAATATGCAAGAGCCTCAGTTTCCATACTTAGTTGGGTTTTTTTGTAGCTGTCAGCACTTTCAAGCCACTTACAGCAAAGCTATTGTATGAACTTGCTGGTTTGTTCATCATGAAGGTGACCCAGCATATTTGTGTCCTGACCACAGGAAATATGAGCCCTCATTCAGCAAGGCACTATGTATGGAGTCCAATGACTATTTTTGTGCCTGAAGGTAGGAATACACTTAGTACAGTCCTGGGACTGTTCACATGCTTAAAGTTAAGCACCTGCCTAAGCACCATGTTAAATTATGAATTTATTGTGCTTGGACAGTTACAATATATCTTGTAAATTGAGGACAACCTTCCAGAAATCACTGAGAAAATATCTACATACACGCAAGATTCAAATTTTAGGATGATTCTTCTGAAAATAACTATACCAAAAAAAAAAAAAAAAAAACCCTGAAGAAGCATTTGAACTATAACTATTGTGATTTCTCCTTCTACATCCTAAGCTCATCTGATGCATGCAAGGGTCAGCACTGAGATCTGTGAGAAAGAAATCTTGCTAATCACTTTCTGCCCTTCACTGGGAAGAGCAACAATTAGGCTAGGTCAGTGCAACTGCTTAATGTGACAGACAGACTTGGGGCCCAACCTGTACGTTTTTCTGACATGTTTTGTTAAAAGGAGAATTGGAGTTGGAAAAGGAAGAAGCCTCACTGCTTGTCCAGAGCTCCCTTGTGTGTGGTTTTCTTCGAAGTGACTTATCTGTTCTTGACATCTGGAGTGCTAAAAATGTAGAAAATGGATAATAAAATGATCACGCTCCTGTGGTATTAAATCTAAATCCAGACATATTGAGAACAGTATGGAAGTTTGACTTTGCTGTGACCTGAACAGTTGCAGAGAAGCAAGGATAAAGTTTTTAATTGTGCTTTGTGTTCTTAGAAACGTGGGGGAGATGGGTGGAGAACCCACCTGACTTTGTAACATTTGTTCTAATGGAAAGGACTGAGTGGGATTTTGTGCTGACTCACCTGAGCTGCCTGTCCCTGCATACAGCCACCATCACCAGCAAGTTCCCCAGGATGGCCATGAGTATGACTGCTGAGATAAAAGTGAGCAGTGCAATCTTCTCTGCCACGTTGAACCTCTCACTGGAACTGGAAACCACAAACAGAATGTGTATCAGAGCAGAACGAAAGAAAATCAATGAATTTCCAGCTACAAACTTTCATCAAATAAAATCAGGCACATTATAATGCTCTCTAAGCACCATTTCTTCTAAAATTCATCTCTATACCAGTTTTCGGGGGGGAGAACATGTGTGCCAAAACCTCAATTTTGCACTTTGATTTTTTTTTTTGAGAAAAATTAATTTCTTGCTCTGGGACAAGATATATAAAACATGTCAGTTTTCTGTACTGTTCAGCAAAAAATTTTATATGTAAATGTTCGTGTCTGCTCTTGTTGTCCATGGAGCTAGAGAAATTGGCATATATATATAAGGAGTCAATTATACATTTTGAACTTGAGACGCCTAAACAGGACATATTATCAGAGGAAGCATGTTGTCACTTTCTGAAACTCAGGTCCTTTTAATTGGAGCTGGCTGAAAACTTTTTAATTTGGGTCGGGGCAGGTAGTAAACAGTAAACTTTCAAAACTGGAAAACGTTCAGCTTTTTTCAACATTTTCAAGGTTACCATCAAACATTTTTTTTTAATATTTTTAGAATGCTTCTTTCCTTTTCTCCTCCTTTCTTAACTGAATATAATAGAAGGAATGATGATTTCTTTTTCTACTTTTTGATCTTTTTCCAAAGCTTGCAAACCTTTTGAAAAGGTACAAAGTAAAGCAAGAGAAAAAGTGGAGATAAAAAAATTGAGAGGAGCAAGGTGACCTATCCTGTTCTGCCTAACTCTAAACATCATCACTTTTCTTGAACTTAGTGAAGGAGATGGGGAATCCAGAGAAAAGAAAAGAGAAAAATAGAATAAGATGATGAACACTGACATTTTAAAGTTCCAAATATTTGTAATTTTTTAAAAATATACTGGGTATAATATTTTCAAAAAAAGTTTTTTCTGAAGCCTGTAAAACAAAAACCACATAAACATTCTGTAGTTTTACTTGAAACTGTTGGGTGTTCTTCCTTTGAAAGATGTCCCTTGTTAGTTAACCATACGTGACACAAAAAATCACCACCCATTTGTGGAAAGCTTGGCATCCACCCCCAATATGTGTGGATGGGTGTGTTTATTCATAAGATGCAAGTATTTGTACACTTCTTCACAATGTTTGGTTTAAAGCGTATCCTCTCCTATGTGCAGAACAAGAATCTAGATTACAGAATAGATTTTGTGAGAATTTTCAAATAATTGGAAAATCTGTTAGTTATTTTGAACCATATCTGTTTTAAAATACCTCTCTGATTTTCCTTTTTCCCCATAGCAGGTAACTTTTTCTACTAAACAAATAGCTTATTTTGGAAATTAACGAATTACCTCCTTTCCAGACTGTGCCAAAAGCTAAAACCTTAAGCTCCCTTTAAATTTGCCAATACACGCTCAAACAGCATCTCTCAAACAACAGACTAACAAACTCCCATCCTCACCAAGGCCTTGCAAAAGACCCAAATGCCTGCTGTGTCCACACATGAATACAGCCCACATCATCACTGGACCTAATAACAAAAAGGAGTACAGTCTCCAAAGTTCATTCAGTTACAACTCTACCAATGTCATATACGCCATCGACTACAAACAGTACCCTTCTGCTGCCTACACCAGATACAGGATAATTTCTGTGTATAAGAATGAATGAACACTGATCTGACATCAGCTGCAGAAAGACACAAAGCCTGCGGCAGAACACTTCAACCTCTCTGGACACTATCACTAACCACAGAACTGCTCTTCTCAGGCAAAAAAAAATGTAGAAACCAATCTGAATGTCAGAACAAGAAATTGTCCACAAATTGGACTGTGTTAAGTATGGTTTAAACAGGGATGATGGATTCTTATCTTATAGATTAGCTTTTCTGGCCCCCTTTGTTCTTCTGGGTTTGCTACTTGTTTACTTTTCTCTTAGCACTACCCTGTTAGCACTGCCCTCTTCCTCCCATTTCTCTCTCTGTTTCTCCCTCCCCTCCCTGGTCTTTTGCATTCTAATTCTCTCTCCTTTTCTTCTCCTTTCTGTAGTCCTTCCACAGCATCAGACCAAGTTAAAAAAAAAAGTGTGCTTGATATATATACCTTATTTGGTTAGTCTACAAAGTGCAGATCTAATCTGCCTTCTGACTTCAGACTAACACAGTTAACTACCTTTAAATATTAATTGTATCAGTTATATAATCTTCTGGTTATTGAGAAACACTTTCATCACTGAGCCTGTGTTGTGATCAAATGGGTGCTCTAAACTTTATTTTTTAAATGGTGTACTTTTTCAGAACCTTTTGTATGCCAGGTGCTTATTTTGCCTATTTGAAGCGAGGATATGGGTGCATTGCTGTCATGGACACATTAGTGGACAATGCTTGGGGTGTTCTGTTTCATATAAATGTCATCTGGATTTTGGAATTCTTTAATTTTGAGTGCTTTTATTAGCAAATCCACCTGGGCATCTTTAATCATAACGGCTAAGTACAGACATTCAAAAAGCCCCGAACTGAATTGATTCAGTCTTTGTAGGTTAGCTTGAACCTGCGAGCATGTGAATAGACATTCACTTTTGATTCCAGAAATGCAGGCACATGCCTGGAGTGGCTCATTCCTATCAGAAAACCTAAGTCAATTTGGCTAGGGACAGACATTACACATAAACTAGTGTAAGTAATCAGAAACTAGGTTAAACCTGTAACAGAACAGAAGTTCAATGCACATAAACCAGCCTCAAAATGGCTGAAACTGGTTTAAGATCAACCTGGTTGAATGTAGTATCAGACTTAACAGATTGAGGTCAAACTGGTCAATGGAAATTCTGTCCCACACCCCTTCCTAGTTTAAGACCATACTAGGCAGGTGTCTGGTCACTCCCCTGCCCCGATCTAGCTACAAAGCAGAGGGGCAGGGCCAAACCTGCTCTTTGCAGCAGACAGCACAACCCACACCAGAGCTGCAGAGCATGCTGGGATGCTGGGGGACTCTCATTTAACTTAACCTGGGGGGGGGGGGG